CTCAGCCTTCCATCCTTCCAAGGTCGGTAAAATGAGTACCCAGCTTGCTGGGGGGGCAATGTGTAGCCTGTATAATTAAAGTTGTAAACCGCCCGGAGAGTGCTTGTAGCGCTATGGGGCGGTATATAAGTCCAATAAATAAATAAATAAATAAGTTGTACTTCTGGGAGTTCTCGGTCCACATACTGGTGAAGCCTACCTTGTAGGATTTTGAGCATAACCTTGCTAGCATGTGAAATGAGTGCAATTGTACTTTAATTGGAGAATTCGTTGGCACTGCCCTTCTTTGGGATTGGAATGTAGGCTGATCTTTTCCAATCCTCTGGCCATTGTTGAGTTTTCCAAACTTGCTGGCATATGGAGTGTAGCATATTAACAACATCATCTTTTAAGATTTTAAATAGTTCAAATGGAATGCTATCACCTCCACTGGCCTTGTTGTTAGCCATGCTTTCTAAGGCCCACTTGACTTCACACTCCAGGATGTCTGGCTCAAGGTCAGCAACCACAGTGTCTGGGTTGTCCAGTACATCCGGATCTTTCTGGTACTGTATAATTGTGTATTCTTGCCACCTCTTCTTGATATTTTCTGCTTCTGTTAGGTCCCTACCATTTTTGTCCTTTATCATGTCCATCTTTGCACAAAAGGTTCCTTTAATATCTCCAGTTTTCTAGAACAGATCTCTGGTTTTCCCTTTTCTATTATTTTCCTCTATATCTTTGCACTGTTCATTTAAGAAGGCTCTCCTGTCTCTCCTTACTGTTCTTTGGAAGTCAGCATTCAAATTTCTAAAACTTTCCCTATCTCCCTTGCATTTTGTTTCCCTTTCCTTCTCTGCTATTTGTAAGGCCTCGTTGGACAGCCACTTTGATTACTTGCATCTCCTTTTCTTTGGCATGGTTTTGTTGCTGCCTCCTGTACAATGTTAGCACCCTCCATCCATAGTTCTTCAGGCACTCTTTCTCGCAAATCGAGTCCCTTAAATCTGTTCTTCACTTCCACTGTGGATTCATAAGGGATTTGGTTTAGATTATAGCCGACTAGTCCAGTGGTTTTTCCTACTTTCTTCAGTTTATGCTGGAGTTTTGCTATGAGAAGCTGATGATTAGAGCTACAATCAGCTCCAGGTCTTGTTTTTGCTGACTGTATAGAGCTTCTCCATCTTTGGCTGCAGAGAACATAATCAATTTGATTTCGATATTGCTCATCTGGTGATGCCCATGTGTAGAGTCGCCTCTTGTGTTGTTGGAAAAGAATGTGATGACCAGGTCGTTATCTTGACAAAACTCTATTAGCCTTTGCCCTGCTTCATTTTGAACTCCAAGGCCAAACTTATCTGTTGTTCCTTTTATCTCTTGATTCCCTATTTTAGCATTCCATTCCCCTATAATGAGAAGAACATCTTTCTTTGGTGTCATTTCTAGAAAGCATTGTAAGTCTTCATAGAATTGGTCAATTTCAGCCTCTTCAGTATCGGTGGTTGATACATAAGCCTGGATTACTGTGATGTTGAAAGGCCTGCCTTGGATTCATATTGAAATCATTCTATCATTTTTGAGATTATATCCCATTACAGCTTTTTCCACTCTTTTGTTGTCCATTTCTTCTATGAGATTCTTGCCCACAATAGTAGATATGATAATCGTCTGAATTAAATTCGCCCATTCCCGTCCATTTTAGTTCACTGACGCCCAGGATGTCAATGTTTATTCCTGCCATCTCCTGTTTGACCACATCCATCTTCCCAAGGTTCCCATATCTTACATTCCAGGTTCCTATGCAGTATTTTTCTTTGCAGCATCCGACTTTCCTTTCACTTCCAGGCACATCCGCAGCTGAGTGTCCTTTCGGCTTTGGCCCAACCACTTCATTAGCTCTGGAGCTAGTTGTACTTGTCCTCTGCTCTTTCTCAGTAGCATGTTGGACGCCTTCTGACCTGAGGGGCTCATCTTCCAGCGTCATATCTTTTAGCCTTTTGTTTCTGTCCATGGATTTTTCTTGGCAAAGATACTAGAGTGGCTTGTCAGTTCCTGTTCCAGGTGGATCATGCTTAGTCAGAACTCTCCACTATGACCTGTCCGTCTTGGGTGTCCCTGCACAGCATAGCCCATAGCTTCTCTGAATTACTCAAGCCCCTTCGCCACAACAAGGCAGCAATCCCTGAAGGGGAAGTGACTTATGGTGACCTAAATAGGGTTTTCAAAGTAAGTGATACATTTAGGAAGTCATTTTAAAAGACGGGCACAAAACACAATTCAGCAGTTTAGCTCAGTTCAGGATGGCTCTCACACAGGTGTTTTGCAGCTGCTCTGCACTCCTCTCTCCCACCTCCTCAGTATCACAGCATGTGCTTCCCTCCTCCAACAGTTGCCCACTCAGATGAGAAGTTGGGGCAGGGAAACTACAGCACTGCCTTTGGGTAGGCAGAGGAGGCAGGTGAGGGAAGCATGCACTACAGTCAGTGAGTAGGCAATCACATTGAGAAGCCGGGATAGGGAAGCATGTTTCAGCCAGGGAATGGGTGAGTGTACAGAAGAGGCAGAGAGAGGAGTGCATGGCACCCACAGAATATCTATGTGGACACACATATTGAACTGGGCTGAACCTCCAAACAGTTGTTCACGGCTATGTTTAGTTGTTTCACCGGTCCTATACCCCAACTGGGCTGAGTTTCCATCAGCAGGGATTCAAATCTAGGCCTCCTGTGTTCTAATCCATCATTCTATCCACTACATTACACATACTGAACTTAGTTCCTACTTATTTGACTGGAACCAGTTCAACTAGCTTAACTGAAATCCAAACCAAAGTTTTTTATTTATTTAGTAATACAAAGATAAAATTTAAAACTTAAAAATACCTACAAAAATGCATCAGGACTGCAATGAATTCCAAGGATTCTAGAAATGGTAAAGGATTCTGGAAATTGTAGTCCAAGAACATTGGGGCTACTCAAAGTTGGGAACCACTGTTCTAGATGTTTTTGAATTGCAACTTCCAAGATACCTCAAAATTGGCTATGTTGGCTAATGCCGTTGGAAGCTGCAGTTCAGAAACATCTGGAGGGCCACATCTGCCCATCTCTTTAATGCAGGGCTAAATCCAAAGTTAATCATACTTGAAGTAAACTGATAGAAACTAGTGGGATTTCAGCTAGTTATGATTAATCAAACTCCTGCTCATTCCAATATTTTTCTTGTGGATTTTTGATATTTTCTAAATTATAGCAGCAGTGGTCTATTGGCGTTCTGCTGCTAGACTTTTTTTTAATGATAACACTGACAGAGGTTCAATAAGTGTAACTTCTATTTATTCCTTCCCTATATAGCTTTATGAAAAGCACAGCTATCCTAATCCATATTATGTACGTTAAACAAAGGGCTACTGAAATCTGCAAAGTTATTTGTAATAGAGATAATTAATGGTCAGAATCCTATTTATGTATGCAATCATGTATCCTTTCCCTCTAATAGAGCAGACTCCCTGTTGCAAGTCTGAAGTTTCAGTTGTTTTGAAATTGGCCATACAACTGGTTACAAACCCTAATACACAAAGTAAAGTGGATTGGAGAAGAAGCACTGCTGCACAGTTGCCTTACATATAACAGTTTTTCACCAGCTGGATTTTGGCTAGTGAAGTGGTTTATTTTTGCATTATTTTCAATAACTTTTTAGAAGCAACATGAATAATCTTTTTTGCTGTCATAACCTTGACTATTCTAGATGTTTATTCCAAATTACCCACCAGATGTCACAATTGTTCAGAAAGACATACACACTGCTCTTCACACCTTGAACTAAAATGTTTTGGGAAACCACTAACAACTCTTTCTAACCTATTGACTCAAATTGATAGATGAGCTATTTTATTTTTATGCTGCACAATTTTTATTTTTATTTTGGCAGAAGATAAAACTTAAAAGCTTTCAGCAGATGCATTTTTTATCTCAGCAAACATTGTGGCCAGATATTTCAGCTCTTTTAAAACAAATCTTGCAGAGTCATGAAACAAAAACAATCCACACCTATAGGACATATTTACTAGCCAGGAAATACCACACTGTTTTCACCCAGTCTGTGTGTCCTCACTGTAGTGGCTACATATTTAAGGACAGAGCCTTCTTTATCTCCCCAACAACTCTACCATACTGTTCCTGATCTATATTGCAAGTGTTCCTGATCTATATTAAACCCTGCTCTGTTTTAGTCCTACAAATAAAAACCTCTGTGATCTCCTTAGGCCAAATGACCCATCACACCTTTTCCCTATCTTATACCATTAACACCCACACTCCAGGTTTCTTATTTCACCTCTCAGTGTCCTATATAGAAACTAACATTGGTTTCAACAGTTTAAGTTATTTGCAAGACCAAAAAAGCAGCTTCCTCTCCAAAACAAACTACATGATATTTACACATTGTTAACAAACTGTATTAAAAATACAAATGCTTTGAGGATGAATGCTGTACATAGATTTTTTAAAAAAAGAAAGTTATTAATACAATTGATGACTGAAATCCTGTTGCACGTTATGCCTGCAAAAAGATCTAGCAAGGAGAGATTTTCAGTAATTCAATAATTGTTCCTTCCATCCTGCAGCTCTCACTGCTTCCAAGCAATGAAACTTGATTACTTTCAAGTCAAACAAGCCACAGAGCAGAAGGAGGTAGTCTAATAACTTGTGCAATAGATTTGGGCCAGTATATTCAAAAAAATGTCAATCGCCACAGAGTTGAAATGTCAGCAATCATATGTCTTTGTCAATCATATTCCTGGTACGAACAACCAGCTTCAGGAACTTTCCTTGTATTTGTACCCTGACTCATAATAAGTTTCACTTCCTTCTTAGCTTTGATAGTCCATCACAGCCTGACTGATATTGAGGCTCAGAAGCAGGAAGCAGTCAGTTAAAACAGAAATCAAATATAGGGCGATAGGCATTTTCTGCATACAAAGGGGTCTCAGTAGCCAAAAGTAGAAAAAATTATTGCAAACCCACCTTGCCAGCTGTCATTGCACACACACAGTTTCTCTCCTGTCAAATCACAGTAGCCATGATCAGGACTTCCACAGTTAGCTTTACAATAAGGAATATCACAGGCTTCTCCTTTCCAATACTTGTCACATTCACAATATACTTGGCTTGGAATCGAGCTACTAGTTGTACATTTTCCATGACCTGAGCAATTATTTGGACATGAATTAATTCTGTAATGAACAAAATGAGGAGAAAGAGGAAATAAAATAATGACATATAAATTGACAATTGTTCCTTCACAGATTACTTCAACTACAAAACAGAAAAAGGAAATACTCTCCTTATAACAGTAAACCTGAAAACTATGTATTCTTGTATTAATCAATTTCTTCTTCACTGAGACCAAGAAATTAAAAAGAAATGAGTACATATGTCCATATAAAAATGTTCAGGAGGAAAAAAATACAAAGCTTTTCTCTTGGGTTCATAATATACCAAGCATTCTTAACTCCATACCATGTTCAGGCTAGTTTAAAAAAAAAAAAAAAACGACATTTAAATTCTCCCCGAAAAGGCATACAGTTCTATTACATTCATTGATCAAAGCCTTAAAGCTTAAAATAATGTATATCTAGCACACCAAGCAACCAGTATTAGTAATCCTTCTCTTCAGTTTAATACAGTGAGCAGTGCTATACAGGTGACTGTACAGGGAAGGTAACACAAAACATTCTCTCTAAGTTGTGCACCCACACACCTGTGCAGCACTGCATCTGGGCCATGAAGCCAAACCAGTGTTGCTACCCATTTGCTTTTGGTCATGGCCAACCTCCACATACACACACACAGAGGGCCGAGCCCCTGCCCAGCACTCTGGAAAATTAGAGTCTCACACCAGGGCTCCTACAACCCCCTCCATCTGTAGAGCTCTGTTTCTACAGAAAGACTGGTGGACTGTGCCTTGAGCTTCAAATCCTTATCCAGACCACAGTACCAGCCCACCATAGCCATCAATCTGACACTCCCAAAGGCCACTCCTGGTACATTATGCCCTGTAAAGGTCTGGCTTTATATGGTTTTTCAATCTAAGCAACTGAGGCCTTTGGTGTCTTTCATCTTGATGCTTTCATCTCCTTGACTACATATTTGTGGCCCTTCCTTCTGCTTTGGAATGCCATACCTCTGACCTGCTTGGGCTGACAGACAACTCCCCTGGAATCCAGAATTCCATTGCCTACACTTTGGCCCCTCTCGAACCCAACTACAACAAGTTATCAAGTTGTAACTTCCATCGGCTTATAACCCTTAATTGCAAGGTCCTACAAATGGGTGTGAGAAGCTGACATGCACAAATAAAAACCTGCAGGAACCTTGGCTTGGTAAAAAAAAAAAAATCCAAAGCAATTGGCAGGATAATTCGGTAGTACACAAATGCTAATCTTTTTTTTTTTTTTTGGTAGATCATTTGTAAACAGTATCAGCTAAAATCAATGAGGACAGAGTAGTTTGGACCTCTCCTTATGAAACACTAGAAGAGGTAGCATAATTAACTTACCTGAAACATTTTTATTAGAGTCTTCAGGCAAAAACCTCCTAGAATATCCTAAAAAGTTCAACAATAAAACAGTCCCTAATGTACTCTTTATAATCTAAAAGCATGCTATGACCTCTAGGAGGTAATCCAGGTAAGCTATATCTGATGGCCAAAGTCCGGTTCAGAGTGTTCCACCTGCACAACAAGAATCATGCCACTACCAGCAGCAGATTTTCACTGATTAAATACCTCCTTTTCCACTTTCAGGGTATATGCAACTTCACTTTATTATGCATGAGCTATGCACTTCCCAAAATTAAAAAAAAAAGAGAAAGAAACATGAAATCCTTATCAGTGGCAATGTACCACTGATAATGACATCATTCCCACTGCACAGGTGGAGTTGTGCTACAGGATTTGGGTCAATGGGTAGTAATCCCTCTCAATTGCAGGTTGATATAAACTCACAACCCCAAAATGCAGCATTAGTCCAAGTGCTACAGCAGTTTTATTTCTACATGCTCGCAGTTCACTGTAACTACTCACGGGCAATATCCATGAATATTTCCTGCAGGTATGTTGAGGTACATAGCACATTGTTTTGTTTTGCGTTGTGCAATTTGGGATATCTCTTTTATGATAAATTACTCCATAGCCTCACATATCAACAAGGCAGAAGAAACTCACTAATCATGCTATATTTCCTAGCTGCATTTCTTTTCAAAAGCATCATTTTATTCAAACTTTCTATGGATTCTTACATTTCCCTTCTTAGTCAAAATCCAATTTGCATAATACTACTTCAAATAATTTTAAGCCCCAAATCTTATTTACTAAGAAAACTCCATATGTGCTGATGAATAAACAGAAACATGATTGGGAAAAGAATTACTTACGAGTAAAAAATATTAAATCCTGTTAGATTATAAGCAGCATCGCTGAAAAAGTGTAGCAATGCATAGCCAGATGTAGTAACTACTTCAGGTACAGTTTCATTTCCACGTACTTCTGGAACTATAAGACCACTGCAAAAGATTGAACATGAAATATTCATATTAGCAATAACACAAGCTATAAAATGTTGGAGATTCAAATACATCATGAGCGTGCCGAACACATTTTGGAAACATTCCAGGACTTCGTTCCATTGCAGTGAAGAAAGCAAAGTGGAATTGGAAGCAGTACAGAAATTCATACATACTGACCAAAATCTTACTATATAGTTTTAAACCCTGCAACTTCCATATGTCATCAGCCACAGCTATTTCAGGGGAATTAAAAGTTCCTTATTCCCAATCCCCAGGATCCTTAAGAACCCTTTTCACCTTGGGGAGGACTTTAGGAGCTATGGAAGGCTGGAGAGAATTATTTAATGTTCAAAAATCACCACTGCTGATCCCAGTCCCATCACCAGGATTGGCAGTGGCAACCTTAGGGCATTAAAGAGTTTCTTCCTTTGTTCCATAGCTCATAAAATCTTCCCCAGGACAACAAGGAGCACTGGAACCTGGGCAAGGTGGACAGGAAAACTGTAATTTCCCCAAAAGGGTTCCAATAGATGAAGTCATCACAGTTGAGTGGTGTGAAGTTGCACAACAGGATTCTGGCCACTGAATGGCAAGATTATATTTCATATGGTATCACAGTTTTATGCATTCCAATCTAAATATTAGAACTAAGTGCAAAAGAACAGCCTATAATCTTCAGGCAAACCCTGTGCATGAAAATAATGCATATTAATTTAAATTATACAAAAATATGTTTAGCACCCAACTGTGAGGCTGAAAATTGAGCAACATAGCTCTCTGTGTTTGCCAGCTAAATAACACAGTATTATGCAGCAAGACAAATGGTCCCTCTATGCACCAACACAAGTTTCGTTATTTTTATTTTTCATGTTTGTTAATCAGTCATTTCCTTTTCCACTGTAGTCAGGCAAATTTGCAGGCACCCATGGGATGGGCAATTCAACTAGATTTGCAGTAGTAGGTGGGATCATCATTTCAACATTATTTAGAGGAAGGCTAAACAAATGATCCCAATTTCATCCGTGGTAAAGAGGCTGATCAATTACAATTCTGCTCTAATAAAATTATATTTCAAATGTTTTCCAAAAGAGAATGGAGCCAGATGTGTGTATGTGTGTGTGTGTTGCAGTGTAGCTAACCTGATTTCTGTGCAATAGGAATACAATCACTACTACCTCAGTAGCTGCCTAGAATCAGCTAGAACAGCATTTCTCACAGGTAGGTTTTAATGAGGCCTATACTGTCATGCATCCTTATACTGGTAAAGAAGTATACAAGGAGATGTTAATTAGCTCTGTAGAGTATAATAGTGCTCAAGCTTGAGGCTCCTGCTGGTGTTTGAATGTAAGTGCCAGAAGCCCAGACAAATCACCTTGTTAACAGCTTTAGCTGAAGTTTCAGTATGTTGCAATCTCGATCAATTTATACTTTGATGATAAACCTAATTTTTAAAATAATGTATAGGTGTTTTTTCTTTGGGGAAAAAGTATGAGTAATATATAATCTCTGCAGAGACTCTGTAAAATGAACATTTAATGTCAAGTGTTAAACATGTTCCTTTTTAAACATTGACCACCAACTAATTGGTAGCGATCCTGTTGTATAGTTCTGCATGTACAATAGTGACAATGTTACCAGCAGTGGCAAAATGACTCTGTTTAAAGGCAAATTGCCACTTGTTAAAGACAACTGCAGGGTGCACCCTGAAATCATCAATGGAAGGTTTTAAACAGCAGTGGTTTGCCGCTGCTGATTACATCACCACTTCAACCAATTAATTTTTAATCTTAATGTTTCATGCTCTGGATAAACCAATAACTATCACAGAGGATATCAATTCCTGAGCCACTTGTGATAGAGCTGTCCTACAGTGGGAATTTAAATCTCCCAGTGCAGCCAGGTGAGGAGACTCCAGCATCACCCTTGAGGCCATCTCTTAGCTCAGAAATGAAGACTGCTGTGCAGCAGGGTTAGCAATATATCAACAGAATCTGTGTACTGTCTAAAGTAAGGTAAAGGTAAAGGTTCCCCTTGACATTGTCTGATGCTAGGGCGCGGTGCTCATCCCTGTTTCTAAGCCATAGAGCCAGCATTTGTCCGAATATAGTTTCCATGATCGCATGGCCAGCACAACTAGACATGGAATGCTATTACCTTCCCACTGTGGTGGTACCTATTTATCTACTCGCATCTGCATGCTTTTGAACTGCTAGGTTGGCAGGAGATGGGACAAGCGACGGGAGCTCACTCCGTCGCGTGGATTCGATCTTGCGACTGCTGGTCTTCTGACTTCGCAGCACAGAGGCTTCTGTGGTTTAACCCACAGTGCCACCATGTCGCTTCTACTGTCTAAAGTACCCACTGTGGTGGTACCTATTTATCTACTCGCATCTGCATGCTTTTGAACTGCTAGGTTGGCAGGAGATGGGACAAGCGACGGGAGCTCACTCCGTCGCGTGGATTCGATCTTACGACTGCTGGTCTTCTGACTTCGCAGCACAGAGGTTTCTGTGGTTTAACCCACAGTGCCACCATGTCCCTTCTACTGTCTAAAGTACTCACTTTCAGAGACACATATTCAAATTTGGCAAACTGTAGGAAATTGACGCTAGTAATGGGGACAGAATTATTATAAATTTGGTTACTAACTAGACAATAGCCTTATGGCATATAAATTCAAGATGAGTCATTAGAGTTGTCAGAACAAACTGCCTTAATTTTCCCCATCAGTATATATTTCAAAGGGAGGAACAAAAGAGAATAATACTGAGAAATGAAGAATGTTTCTAAACTACCTACAGAAATGTATATTCTTTTCTGATCTGTTCATTTCAATGCTCTTGGATTGCTAAAACACCAATAAAAATGAGTAATAATGTTTATATTATTTCTTAATAAGCAGGTGAACTGGGGAGAATAGAAATCACAGGAAAGTCAAACATAGTAAACTTTAAATTGAAACACACAAAAAATAAATTTGAACCAAGAAGGAACCTATTACCACACATGGTGGACATGTGATACTGCAAAGAAATATTGGGTCAAAATGTATACATGGATTAAACAAATGACTAAGAAAGAAATACAATTTAAACCAGAAAGTTTTTTATTGGGACTAATACCAAATAATATAAATAAGCAAAGTTATTACTTAATATCACATGTCCTTACAGCTGCTAGATTAGCATGGGCACAAGTATGGAAGGAGGGAGACCCACCAAAAGACGAAGTGATTATCAAACAAATATTAGAGTGCACTGAAATGGATAGACTTACAAAGAGACTAAAGGGGCAAGAAAAGTCAACTTACTATGAAAGCTGGAACATGTTCTACAAATGGTGGAAAGCAAAAACTTTGTAATAAATAGAAAATGACCAAAAGGAATAATGAGGAGAAGACACTGCTGAAAGAAATGTGTTATTATACAAAAGGCTTGTAGGCTAAGCTCTACAGTATGTATCGTTTGTAGATCGAGATTTAGGCATATGTGTGTATATGTCTATGTACGGATATGTGTATATAAAGTAAAAAATAAAAAATGGAAATAAATAAATACATTTGAAGACTAGAAGTGGGAGCCCTCCAAAGACTGATAAGCTGTTATTCATGTTATCTCTTTCCTCCAGCAAAGTGGGACTGGCAGGACCTAGAATTCAGCAACATCTGGAGGACTCCTGATTTCTCAGTCCTGCTGAACAGAGAAGGAACAAAGAGGAACTCAAACAGGAAAAAGGAGAGAGAAGAACAAAAGTAATGATAGCAAATTTAAGCCATCTAGTGCTAAACATCCACATAAACATGTAATAAAACCTATTAAACTGAAGTACTCACCTAAATACAGCTATTAAAGGTGCATATATTGAATCTCCATCGTATACATACATATGGTCCCAACTACATTCTGTGGCAAAATGATTAAATCTTAATCTTAAAACTGAATTAGGACTAGAAGAGAAGAGAAAAAGGGAAGAATATTACAAAATCCAGAAATAACATTTTTCCTAATAAAATAATAAAATACTAATAAATTATTAAAGAGCAACTAAAATTATTTGCTTGGAATTTAGTGTGAAAGCAGCATGGTTCCAATAAGAAAAACATGGTTCCAATAAGAAAAACAAATCTCTGTTAAAACCCTAAATCGTGAGATAAGATGTAATCAGATATTGTAAGCTCACAAACTTAGAAGACATTAGCTTGGTTCAGACATAATAATCCCAGTCCAACAAACCACTGGTCAAAGTCCTGTTGGCATAAGTGTATGCCACGCAAGCCATATGATATCATTCAATGATGCAAATTTTTAATTTAATTAAAATCTTCCTACCCTTCCCCATCCGGAGGCTACCAAAGGGTTCCCAAGATCAAAAAGGTCATAGGGAGCCTTGGGATGAGGGGAAAGCCATTAATATATATTTTTTAAAAATCCCCTACTATTCATTTGCCAAATCAACAATATTAGTAACATTATCAGGAAATATGTTATGTAGGTTCAAAATGTTCCTTTGCATGAAACTATGTTCCAAAGACTTTAATAGCTATAATTTCCACTGCACAATGGCTCAAAATATATACTTACTATCCTTCAATTAACCATGTACATTTAGTTTTATATTTATAATTTATTGGTCCATCTGTTAAATATCCTGAAGGTTCAGTTAACCTACAAAAGAATAAATCACAATAATTAGCCTTACAAGACTTTTCTTTTCTTTTCTTTTTAAGCACATACATGGAAGAAAGGCTACAAATGTACATAAAAATACATCCTACATCTTATTATTAATTAATATTTCTGAACTGCCCACCCACAAGAAGTTGTATGATCCTAATAAAGTCAAGGACTTCTATCCATTGATTCACATGAGAAGGATTTCCCTGTGCTCTCCCCTCCACAACATCTCCCCAATAATCAAAGATCATGGACAGCAGACCAGTGCCCATCCTCCTGGTGATCACTCACCACTGAATACAACCAATAAGAAAAACAAAGTTTTAAAGCCAATATTTAAAGCTAAAACAGGAAGTATATAAATCCTAAAAAAGATCAAACAAATTACATAGTAAAAAACATTAAACAGAAGCAATATCAAAATGCATTCAAAGAAGTAAGGCACAAGAAGCTACCCATTTAGGCAGCCAGTAATTAAAGGAAAGCTTGCTTGAAGAGAAAAGTCTTCACCTGCTTGCAGAAGGACAGCGAAGGGCCTAGACTGCCCCCTTACAACAGAACAAAGTGGGTAGGGTAAGCATATAAAATCTGACAGTGCTGCAGTGGGACTGTCCAGCAAAGGCACAAAGCTTAGCTTTCTTCAGAGAGTCCTCACATTATTCAACTACTGAACAACAGTGTGAATGAGCTGTCACAGTAATAAGACATGAGAAGCAGTGAAGACAACAGATGAGTGTGGAGCCTGGCAGTGCAAAAGAAGACCAATCAAGCTCTTGACAGGAGACATATAGATAGGACCTTGGCTTCCTTGTTATTCCAATATTCGTCCTTATTTCCTATTCATTTGATTTGTTTATATTCCACCTTTGCCCAATACTGGAACCATAATTCTAATAAAACATGAAGAAGAAGCAGAAGTAGAAGAAGAAGCAGAAGAAGAAGAAGACACAACAACAGAACCCAGAACCCTCATTACAACTCTTGCTCTGCATAAAGTCATCTGCCCAAAGCTACTTCCATTAAAAATAAATAAATCATTGCCTTATGGCAGAAGAACAACAAGGAAGGCAGCAGCCTAGCTTACCTTTAGCATGGCAGACACTACAAAGAAGTCCTCTCTCGCATTCTCACCAAAGAAGCCTATGGCTGTGGTGAGAGCAAGAGAAAAGCCTCTTCTTAAGAAAGTGAAGCTTAGGCAAGCTTACTTAGAGAAATGCACTCTTACGTATACCCTGACAAGGCTTTCTAGCTCATAGCCAGCACTTTGAATTGGGCCCATAAACAGACAAGTTACTAGTGAAGCTGCTGTACAATACACAAAAAGCATAATACTGACCCCAACAAAGAACAACAAATGCTGTTTATATAACCAAACTACGTTGTTAATATACTTTTATTTGCTTGACACTGGAAATCTTAATTTCTAAGTCATTTTAGGGTTTGATTATATGCTTTTGTTTTTCTGTTTCACCAAGCTACTCCACTCCTCTGGTTACCATAGTAAATCCTCAAAAACAGGTTTGTTTATTTATTTTATTTATTTAAACTATTTTTGACCCACCTTCCTCTTTCAAAAAAATCCAAGGCAGCTTACAACAATTACAGTATTTAAATTAGTAACAAGGAGTGTACAATAATGGTGCAGCTAAAAACATTGTAAATACTGTAATTAAATAAATACTAAACGGATCAGTATTAAAAATATAGAAAATATAGGCAACACCAAAACATATTCAATGCAGTAAGGTACAACAATCCATTTTTAAAAAAGCCCACTGGACAGCTATTCATTCAGAGAAAGCTTGCCTGAAGGGAAAGGTCTTCACCTGCTTGTGGAAAAACAGTAAAGATGTGGCCGGCCTAGTTTCCTGTGGGAGAGAGTTCCAGAGTTTGGGAGCAACAACAGAGAAGGCCCACTTCTGTGTCCCCAACAAATGCATCTGTGAAAGTGGTGGGACCACGAGGAAGGCCTCTCCTCCTCTTAACACCCAAGCAGGCTCATAAAGCAAGATGAGATAGCTTGGGCCCAGACTAGTTAAGCTTTATAGCTTAAAACCATCACTTTGAATTCTGCCTGGAAACAGCTCAGCAGCCAGTGGAGCTGCTATAACAGGGGGGTTGTGTGCAGCCCAGTTAGCAACTTGGCTGCTGAGTTTTGGACCCACTGAAGTTTCCTGAAATTTTGCATAGGCAGTCCGATGTAGAGTGTTACATTAACTAAGGCATGTATCACCTTGGCCAAATCAGACATTTCCAGGAATGGGTGCAGCTGGCACACTAATTTTAACTATGCAAATGCACTCCTGGCCACCACCAAAATCTGGACATCCAGACTCAGAGATGAATCTAGGAGTAACCCCAGGCTGCACATCTGGGGTTTTTTTGGGGGGGGGACCTCCTACAGCACAGACTATATCTCTGTTCTTTGATCTGCCTTTTAACTAACCAGGAGCACCTCTGTTCTGTCTGGATTAAGTTTCAGTTCATTCATCCTTGTCACCTCATTACTGCACAAGAGACCCCAGCAACACCTTCTGAGTTCTCTCCTAGAGGAAGGACCTGAGTAGAGATAGGCATGAACCTTGGTTTGAAGGATCATGCTTGTTCATCAGCAAGGTACCAGAGGTGCTGCACTTTCCTTTTCTGGAATGGGACTTGGATATATAAACAGAGATGAGCAATTATTTTTCATTCAAGTTCTGAATTTCTAGAGAACTAAGGCAGTTGTTTAAATTAATGAAACGGATGACTATTGCAAAGTATCAAAACAGGATTCATAAATAATTCTAACCTGCTTTGATCACCATGGTAGATGATGTGACTGGATGGTTGCACGAAGAACAGGAGAAGATTAGTGCATGCTGGCTGGTAAGTGGGGGAGCTGGCTGGGGGGGAGCAAGGGAGCGTGCAGCACCTGTGGTGCCATGCCAACAAACCAACATGAACCTCCGAACTGAGGTTCAGGACCATCTCAAGAGAGCAGAGCCACTGTAAAACAGTACAGTACCTCCAAGTCCCATTCCAGAAAGACAGGCCAGAAGAATACCATGACTGATGGCATCAAAAGCTGCTGAGAGGTCCAGTAGAACCAACAGGGGCATACTCCCCTTGTTCAGTTCCCATTGTAGGTCATCTACCATGGTGACCAGAGCAGGTTAGAATTAATTATGAATCCTGTTTTGATACTTTGCAATAGTCATCCGTTTCATTAATTTAAACAACTGCCTTAGTTCTCTAGAAATTGAGAATTTGAATGAAAAATAATTGCTTATCTCTGTTTATATATCCTTTGTGAGTGCAGCTGTCTCAACAGAATACTGAACTGTCAATCTTTGCATGTGATTCATTTTCAGGCAAACAGTATAATTATCTCACTTATATATTCGCACAAGTTTAGCTTTTGGTTAATTTTCATCAACCTTTTTTTAAAAAAACCTATTTTGCAGCTTTTCAAAATATAAATAATAATTCTTTTCAAAAAGTTATGGAAACAAGTCTATATTACATTAGTGTTTTCAACTAAAAATGAATATATTTGGAAGGAAATCCTCCCTACTCCAAATTGGTCTACATTTTGCAGACTTTTCTTGGTGCAATATTTTTGAAAAGAAAAACTGAGTGCCTTTCTAATTTATTATTCCTGAAAAAAAAGGTTGCATCAGTTCAGCAAGGTTTGTTAGTCATGCTCTTAATAATGCAGATCTGCATGTTTGGAATATTCTAAACAACAATAAGAAAAAGTGTTCCATAGGAATTCTAATGCAATAATTGCTGTAGAGACTGTACCAGTACATAATGAATTGCTCCCTGGATTTTTAGGTAGTGGTGAATCAATTAAATTTATTTATTTAAAGAAATACTGCTACCATGATGAAAGATCCAAAGCATCTGCTAATTTGTGAATCAATCATGTTTTCTTATTCATTAAGCAAGCAGTATTCTCTGACTAATTCATGAAACTGGCAGAACTCTGCTTAATCCATATAACTGCACAATTGAAGGCAACATCTCTGCTTCATCCATTTAAAAATACACCAGTTGTCTCATCAGTGTGCAAACTTACTTTCATGAAGCAAATAAGGTTTTGCTAATTTAATAAATTAGCAGGAATCTCTAATTAGTCCACAACCGGTTCAGTTCATAGCTCCTGAAGTTTCATGCAGCTTTGACAGTAATTAATTAGTTCTTGCTTTAAAGATAACCTTTATATTGACAAAGATAACCTTACATAACTTTATATTGTCAAAGATAACCTTTATATTTTGCTGTGGCAAAAGTCTAGATAAAATTTTCACAACTTTCTCCCCTCCCCCAAATCTAGCACATACTGTTCGACATGTGTGAGCACAGCATATCTGTTTAAATGGCTAAGTGTTTTTGCCACAGCTGCCCAACATAGTTGACTCACTGCAGAAAACACACGCTTTATGACTCCTGCATGTAAAGAACTTTGTCTTTAATGTTCATTAATATATAATATTGATTCACTAAAGCAAAGATGTGGAGGGGAATCAACGTAAGTCTTTTTGTATGTGTTTGGCATTCTGCATGGTACATTCACAACATCTTTTTATATGGATCCACACATAAGCAAACTTGGCTTCTATGTTGAATAGAGAGACTTAGTTGTTCCACATTTGGACCGATGGACCTTGTACACTTAACTTTCCCAAAGACATCTATTATGTCTTCCTGCTCCTCTTTTCTGAGTATCTCCCCTATGAGCATTCTGAAGTCTCACATGACACTGCATGCTTGGCCTACTTCCTTAATTAACAGAACCACCCCATCCCCACACAGACTCTTTTGATAAACAATCTGACCATGGCACTCATGTTGCTAAACCACAAAACATCCTTAGGTACAATCATCCAACTTTATCGTGATTTGGGTTAGCTGTGAATGATTTGTACCACTTAAATTACTCAGCTTTAACCTTTAAGTTGCCTGAAAGCAGGTTAACATACAAAAATAACCTTTCAATAATTCAA